TCCACGTCGCCTGCGCTGCCCGCCCCACCTGGCCCGCGGCCAAGGGCGCTTGGGGAGCCGGCGGGCAGCCGCGGGCTGGGGCCCAGGCCGTGGGCCATCTCGAGCTCGATCTCTGCGTCCATCTCAGCGTCCTCCTGAGCCTCCTTGTTGCTGTCGTCCAGGTGTTTCATGAGCACGGCCACCACCACGTTGATGAGCACGAACTGCGCGGTGAGCACAAAGCTGACAAAGTACAGCGGCGACACGAACTGCAGGCTGCTCAGGCAGCTGCGCTCGTCGTGGGTGCAGTCCCGCAGCGTGTCCTGGGAAAGGGAAGCGGTGAGGACGGCCTCACTTCACAGAGGCCAAGGAGAGAGGAGCCTGCCTCGGCCTCCATGAGGCCCCCAAGGACCGTGTGTACTCTCCTCTCCTGCTGTAGCCCCATCACCCCTACCAGGCCGGCCCCACCTCCCGGGACAACGGTCAGGCCACAGGAGAAGCACCCAGCTTCTGCAGAGGCCCTGGCCAGGCCCCAGGGAGGGCGAGCCCCATGGCCGGACTGTCTGGACCAGGGCCCTCCCTGTTTTTGCTTTCTGCCTTGGTCCCAGCTCAGCCCCCAACCCAGCAAAGCCAAGGAAGCCTCTACCACCCCCTCCTGCCACAAAGCTGAGGTGAGGGACCTGCCTCTCCCAGACTCCTCGGCTTCCCGCCCGGTTGTTGGGGGCTACTCGCATTATGGCGACACAAGGATGGGAGGCCCAATGGGCCACCGCCGCCCACCTCCACCCCAAGGGCCTCGAGTGGAGGCCACTCCACTATCCTCCTCAAGTCCCTGGCTTCCTTGCCCAGCCCAGGCTGTGGGCCAGGACTGGGAAGCCTCTGCTGGGTGGTCAGTGCAGCCTATGCCCCGGGGTCTGGCCCTGGGCCACGGTCCTGGCTCCTCTGGAATCTGAGCACTGATCCCAGGGCAGCACTGGGGGACCAAACGATGCTGGACAGAAAGCAAGTTCCGGCCTGGCTCCCCCTCACTATGCTGTGGGTAGGGGTGGTCCCAGGCAGGTCCCTCCATGTCTCTGTGTCCTGCACACCCTGAGGGCCCTGGGAGCTCTCACCAGCAAGCCCAGCACCCTCGCTTGTCTGGGAGCCCCCCTGATTTCTCCCTCCCCGGCCCAACTCCAAGTACCTTCATGATCCCGTTCCAGTTGTCGCCCGTGGAGACCTGGAAGAGCGTGAGGAAGGCCATGCCGAAGTTCTCGAAGGTGGCGTGCCGGCTCATGCCCTCACACGGGTTCTCGTCGTTGCAGACTGAAAGCGCGGAGGGGTCAGCCCTGCCCCCCAGCAGAGCCCCCTGCACGGCTTGCCTTGAGCTGTTGCCTCCCACCTCATCTTGGAATCCCTCAGAGATACGTGCCCAGCCCACAGATGGAGAAACTGAGGCCCAGGGAGGTGGCACACGAGCTGGGGCTCATGCTCGGGTGGGGCTGGCTTCTCCCCCTACCCCAGAATCCGTTTCTGAGGATGA